TCGCTTAGCTGGTGACTGCAACCTGCTGGCATCACTTTGAAGGTCTGATTTTCTCTTTCCTGATTGGATAAAAACAACAAAAAATAAGAAGAAAAGAAGAACGTGTTTCTCTCAGTAAAGTTATTCTTAGTAAAGTTATGTAGATTGCAAAAAATATTGGTGCCTTTAAAACAAAGACTAATATTAGATTAATGTAGTTGGAAAGAAAGGCACTTTTGTGCTATTTTAATCACATAATCATATGATTATGTGACAAAATAGCGCAAAAGTGCTAAACTACATTTATTCTCTATTTGTGTTGTGTTGGATTACAATGTCAAGTAATTGAAGGACTCAGTATAGAGTTACTACCTTACTATTGGATTATATCGACAAGGCCCAAAGAAGTGCAAGTTCCTGCCTGGATGTGCCAATCCTCTGCTCTCTCATTACTCCCAAGATCAGTATTAGAAATTTGCATTATCTTGGAGTAGATTAATTAGTTAAGTATATTAAGTATATTAAGTGATTATTATTATTTAATACATCCTTTGCTTTGCTCCTGCTAAATAGCTTTGATAAAATATCATGCATTCAAAAAGTCTAAAGTAAAGAGCACAGAAAAAGTGGTTGTATGAATGGGCGTGAATGGGGCAAGTTGTCTAAAGCCCAACTTACGATGGGCAGCAACAGTACCAACTGAACATAATGTCACTAGAAACAGAATAAAAAAATATTTCTGACAAAATACTTAAAGACTGAGTCTGAGTTTGAGTTACAGTTTAAAAACAAATATAAACAGTTCAGCTAATATGACACTTTTGGTTCAATCCTTTTTTTTTTCTTCCGTTCTAAGACCTCCACCCATTTTGTGGATGAAAGAGTTATTTTTGCCACAGAACATCTGATATGATTTTCTTGGCTGTGCGGACATTGAGTTTCAGTTTATACTGTTTATTCTTGTGCTCTGTGTGCAGCTGGGTTTGCTAGTTCAGAGACTTTATAGAGCGTATTAGAACATGACAAGAGGAATGCAATGTACACTTTATCTCTTACACCTTAAACCTCCCCACCCCCAACTTCCTGGCGCATCCCACGGCTCTGGAGAATGTACAAAATGTTTGCATTGAAATGCAGAACAATGTTGTAGTGCTCATGTTTTTAGTAGATTTTATGTTTCACAGTTAATAGATCACATCCGTATCAATATCTGTACCCATCAGCGACGCATGTGAATACTTTACCTTCAAATCTCTCCAGCCACTTACTTAGGCCCAGTTTTTTTTCTTTTTTTGCACAAAATCATCCATAAGCAAGAAACTAAAAGATAAACTGTAATATTTCATCAGACAGTACTGCTTGACAAATTAGACCTTTGTAATCAACTGGTCCTTAAATTCATTGACTCTAATTCTATATTCAGATAAACTTTTATTGAATTCAAATTAAAAGTTTAAACTACTTACCTTTGGTTTAAAGTAATGCAGAAAAAACAGTTGACAATAAAATAAATAAATAAATAAATAAACAAACAAAAAGTTTAAAAAAAAAAATGCAGGGAGGCACACACTGGAACAGGGTGAAAAAAAATCTAGCAAAAAGCAAAAGTCCAAAAACAAACTGGGACTCGGTTTTGCAAAATGTGTAGTTGACTGTTTGGCAAGTGAAAGTGGATCTACATATAATACAACGCTAAATCTAGACAGAGTAAAGTGGGTGTGCAGGGAAAAGCAGAACTGAGAAAACAAAAAAGAGGGTGGGGAAGACGCAGAAGAGGTGTCGATGCATGTAGAAAACGGTTTTGTTTGGTGTCAAACAAATCGAATGGATTAAAGTTTAGAGATTATTACAGATTAAAAACAAAATACAAGAAATAAAGAACACTGTCTCATATAAGTATTTAACACAAATTGGTGATAAAATCGCACAATTATGTCCCGTTTTCTAAGCTTCATTCCGTACTAACAAACAGAGGCGTCATAAGGGTGAGGAAAGTGATAACATGAGCGCTAGAAAAATAGTAAACCGTCAATTACTTTTACTTTTGAAAATATTAACATATTACAATAAAGGGGTGTTTGTTTCATAAGGTATTTGACCTTACCACTCCTCTCTTCTAGAATTAATGTCGTTTTGTCATTGCCAACAAATAATGAAATCTAGTCAGCGTCTGACATCGCCCTCCTACGGTGGCCCCTAGAGACAAAGCACGTACAAACTCCAAAACACTTGCAAACTCCAAAACAC